TTTTTAATTTATGCATGTGTTTCTTTTTCACACCAGACACTCCATGAAATCTTCCAGGTTGAGAGGAACATAGAAGCCATCCGGAAAGCCATTAGGGACAAAGGGCCTCCGTTAAAAGTGGCTCAGACTCGGCTGCATAAGCGCACACGGAGACCAAACATGGAGCTGTGCTGGGACGCTGCCCAGCTCCGGTAAGGCAGGAGCAAGGGCTGAGGAGTCACCAGTGGTAGCACTCAGGAGCATCACTGGATGGCAGAATTAATCTTGTTGTTTTTTGTTTTTTGTTTTTTTTCTAAATGCTCCTTCCATAAGTGCACGGATATAATCAAAATGAAAGAGCAGGTGTCCCAGCCTCGGAGTGCTGGGAGAGCTCTGCACCCATGAAGGAGGTTGTACACCATGGCTGGGTGCAGCCTGATGCCACCCTGTGAGGGGCTGGATTTTTCCCACTTGGGTAAACCTCATCTTCTCTCTTGCCTGCTTCCTGGCAGTTGGATGGGCTCAATTTTGAAGGATAAACCCTTTACTCTCTGACAGGCTTGTGCTGAGAGCTCTTAGTTCATTCCTTTTGGGTAACTGCAAGAAAGGGTGCACCATATGGCGCAGCAGTAAGGGCTGTCCTGTCCTCCCCTCCCCTGGGACACTGGGAATCCTTTCAAGGACACAGTGAGCTCTTTGGGATTGCATCCCAGGGAGCTGTGGAGGAGCAGCAACCCCTGCAAGGCACCCCAAACCTCACACCTCCTCCTGGGAGCCCTCTGGACATGACTCCATGTGAAACCTTTTAAAAGCAGTTTAAACCCAGCCTCCACTTGTTTCACATTCACTTTTAGCTTCTCCCAGCTGTCCTGTTTTGCTGTGTGTGCATCTGTGGGTGTGGAGAGGGCCCCTGCACAGGGAAATTCAGGAGGGTGAACCAACAAACCCACAAAACCAAACAGGAACAGGAAGCCACGGCTGCTCATCCTTCTTCTCGGTGGTACGAGGTGCTCTGGCAGACGTGGCGGTGCTTTGCCAAAGTCTCGGAGCAAACCTAACCATGCCTCCTGCTGAGGTCCGGAGGAGCTCTGCCCTCGGCTTTCCCCTGCATCTGCCAGAAATGTGGGGGTCCGAGTCAGTCTGAACACTCTGAAAGGGGCCCATCAGCAACACTGTCCTAGAAACCACCCCCATGGTGGGACTGTTCATGAGGGGTTTCTTGCTGTTTTCCAGCCTTGTCAACGAGGTCTGTGAAATCGATGAGACGATCCAGAGCCTTCAGCAGCGGCTGAGAGACGCTGAGGACACGCTGCAAGTGCTGTTTCATTCCAAGTCGGTCTTGGAGCATGACCTGGCCATCAAAGCCAACTCGCTCTTCATCGACCAGGAGAAGTGCATGGGGATGCGCAAGACCTTTCCCAGAACTGTGCGGCTGCTGGGCTACGTTTAAGCTGGGCTCAGCTGAACTCGTGGTATCTGTTGTGGGTGGTATTCCCACTTTTGCTAGGATGCATTCCCAGTTTTGCTTTGACAATACAGGATTAGATCTTAACTTCCTGATGAAAGCCCTGAGTAGAAATTAAATGATCACTTTGTGTGTTACATGGTCTACCAGGATTTTTGTTTCCCTTTGGTTTTTCTCTTTCCACTGCTCTTTCCCAGTGTGCTAGAAAGTAGGTGAAAACATCCCCTGTGCGCCTAAGAGTAAATCCACCCATGGGGATTCATGCCTACCCTTTCAGTCTGTAATTTTAGGAGAAAAACTGTCGTGTCTTCCTCCTTTGGAGTCTGTCTGATGTGGGAAAAGCACAAGGGGAAGTCAAGCTAGTTGTCAGAGTAATTAGCTGTTGACATCCCTAATGTATTTTTAATGGTGCAGCAGAAGAAACACAAACTATCCCGTAAAGCGTTGCAGCACGTTCTGTTCCTAAATCAAAAACTTGCATTTTAATCGGATTACTAGTGAGAAATTTCTTGCTGTTGAAAAATTTTAAATGTAATCTAAAATGTCAGTGCTGGGATCTTAAAATGAGGAAGTACATCCGACTAGCTAATTGGAGACAATGCTGTGGTTTTAATTTTGGTGAGTATGGATTGGTTCCTAATTCAACCTCTTGCGTGTAGTTTGTTGGTGGAAACACCAAAGTGTAATAAAACCTATATGATATTTGTTATTCAAATCTCAAGTTATGGTTAAATATACTATTCAGTAAATTAAATATAAAAAGGAATTGTGTTAACATCAGATTGCATTGTAACGGAACTTTGTTGTGGTCAGACAGTGTTATGGTTCTAAATGTTTTTGCACTTTACATGTAACCTAAGGTTTAAAAGGAGATAAAGCATTACGTGTATAGTTTTTTATGGTTAAAATCAGTTGTTAAAAGGGAGTTAAAATGGCCGCCGTCCTCAGGCCAAACGGTGTTATGTCCAGCCCTGTCTGGCCCATGGATACCTGCACACCCGTGCTGAG